GGAGGCCACTGTGCTCTTGGAAACTTTCAATGCAGCAGAATTTTTTTTTGTATCCTTCCCCAGATCTCTGCCTCAACACAATCCTGTCTCTGAGCTCTGCAGGCAGCTCCTTCCTCCTCATGGCTTGATTTTTGCTGTGATATGCAGTGTCAGCTATGAGACCTGCCTTTCCATCCAATCAAATGAATTTACCACAGATGGACTTCTGTGCTTATGTCAAAGTGAAATTAGTTTTTCCTTTTGAAAAAAAATGAAGGACGGAATCTAAAACAGTGATGCTGCAAACATGTGATCTGATGAATATGATACATTGCTGTAAATGAAATGTCTGTAGTTCAAATGAGCGTTTCCAGCAGTAAAATCCAACTTACACATTGTTGCAGCAGTAATGTGTGTGTGTGTGTGTGTGTGTATATATATATATATATATATATATATATATAGACATTCTATATAATAGTTAAACACTGATAGTGAACCTTTAAATGGAGTACATTTTTCCATCTCAGTTCATAGTTACCTATAACTTTGAAGACTAGTTTCCAAAGCATAATGTTGATAGAGGATACCCATACCCAAGCCAATTAATGATGAACAAATCCTGCACCAAAACACTTTTCTGTGAAGTGACAAAGACAACTGAAAGAATGTACATACTAGTCGGAAGCTGCCTAGTAAGATTTTAATCACAACTGAACCGTTGCACTATGGCACATTCTAACGGGCTAATTCAGATATGGTGACACAGCTCTGAGCAGCACATTCAGCTCTGATTCCAAAATGCTTCTGTCTGATGAGCTTGTTATGATCAGTAGATTCCACTGATACCTGAATATGGAATTGTTTCAGGACATCTGATTGCTAGGTTGTGTGTGACTTCAAACAGCCATCTACTGTTAGAGCCAACATTAAACATTCATTAAATTCTCAGAGGCTACTAGGCCTTTGTTTATATTAGAGACATCCTTTATATTGAGTTCCATCAGTTTGATAAATATATTTGCTCATATTTTAGTATGAAGCCTTGTGGTTTCCTGATCTGCCCCTGTGTGCCCTGTTAAACTTATGTAACTGCATGATGCTGTTAATACAAACTCAATACTTCCTGAATAATTTTGCAGGCTTTAGTCATAGCTGGCTGGCTTTGCATAATGCATGCATATGTGCATAATATTGCCCAGCCATGCACAGCTCTCTGGCAAAGCTGGACTGAGGCAAGGTGATGGTACCGCTATAATGAAAGATAATGTAATCGCCAATGAAGACAAGTCAAAACAGTGCATGTTAAAACTTTCTCACAGCCTTAAACTTCATTTGTTTACTTAATACTTAATATACTATAATCATCAAATAAACCTCATGAACAAATTCAGCCACAATGTAGGATGGTTTCCACTGACATTTGTCACATTTGATTAACTGTATTATCATGTTAAAACAAAGCCAAACTTGAGAGTGGACTTAATTCTTCTGTGTCACTGTAATTATGACCGGTTGACTGCTTCTGTGTTATATGTATCCAAATATTTTAATTGAATGTGCTTTATTTCATTTTATTAACAACAGTACAACATAAGCATTTGCCCTTGACATGTTATCTTATCTTGTTCTTATTTGTAACACCTTTTAAGGATTCAAAACAATTTACAAAATCCATCATAAACAAAGTATATGAGGGTTTGAAGCCTTTCCACTTTGATGTGAGAATATTGTATTTACTCAACATTATTATTACATTAACCAAGTCACATATATTTAATAGAAGACTGATAAAAGAATATAATGTGGAAAATACTGAGAGAACATCAATTCTGAAAGATTATTCCAAATATGTTTACTTGCAGAACATGTAAAAAAAGATTTTCTGTTTCCATGGTGAAAAAGGAGCATGGTGCATGTTCAAATCTGAATCTATACTGTTGCAATGTTCCAGAGTTTTCTAATGAGTTTCTTGAGTTTGGGGGACAACCAGCAAAGTTAATAAAGGCTAAGTAAAGGCATTTTCACATATGAGGAACCATAAGAGTGAGCCTAAATTCTAGCTGCATGGCTCTTCTGAAAATACTCTTCTTTTTAACACCCAAAATTAGTTTGTTCTCAACTTTCCTGTGGAACCAATCCAGCTCTTCTTTAGGGTGAGTAAGCTATTATTATTAAGTTGTTATATTATATTATATTTCTTTGGAAACATTTATCCCAAATTGACATTCGCAATCATTGTAATAGTAAAGCTCATCAAATAAATATGAATGAATATGAAATAGTCAAGAGGCCACGCCCACATCAATCAATCAATATGACACTTTGCATACTGGTTAAAACTTGCCCCCAGATCATGCGCACCTAATTTGGTGAGCTTCTGTTGATGTACACATTTTTTGTGTTTGTGGTGCCCCCGTATGGCGAATCATGAATGAGTTATTCCTTCTAATCCCTGCCCTTTTGCAAAGTTTTTTGATTGATGGCGGCCATGTTTTTTGACCGAACTTGCCCATTTATAATAGAATTAGGCCTGCAAGATGTATACCAAATTTTTAAATTGATTGATGGATAGAATGCATTTTACTGTTCATAACATAATTCAAATTACTAACCCTTCCAAAATTAAGATTTTGGGCTGTAATTACAGCACCACCATCTAGTCAATTGGGCTCATGTTCCTAGGTCATTCCAGCTAACAGCAATTTAAGCCTTAGCATAAGACTCCACAGAAGGAACTACTCAATCGCCCTAAATTAAAGCTGCGAGCAGCAATGAGTGAGTTTCAGGCCTGACAAAGCTGAGCGAAGTCACTGCAGTTCTGTTGAAAGGAGTGAGACCAATCACACACTTGTCATCATCACAAAGCCTGCCACGTTGGTGGTTAGAGAAACGCTATGTTTAGCACGAGTGCTGCATGAAAGTGTGTGAATGGGTTAATGTGACCTGTGGTGTAAAGCACTTTGATTGGTTATTAAGACAACAAAAGTGCTAAATAAATGATATTTACCATTTCATCAGATGTGAAGGAAAGTTGGTGTGTATGCTCATATTGCAGGATGCGCCACCATCTGGCCAACTTGGCTCATATTTCTTTGTAAGCATTTGCACATCTTTTCCAGTTATGGGTCCAAGTTTCATGTGTCTAGCTCGTTCCAGATCACAGCAATTTTAACATGAGATGACAAATTAAAAAATTTAAAAAAAAAGTCTTTAAAGTCTCTCAGAGGAACGAGTGTGTCTAATTTCAGAGTTTACTGAATAGTTGGATCACCAAGACAGAAATTTACTCAAAATTAAACATCAAAATATGTTGTTCGTCAGCATTTCCCACTCTGATGCCCCATCAGCTGGACATCATTTGTCTGTGCTTTCCAAAAGTGTTACAAATTACATTTGAAAAATACATGTTTTCTGAAGTGACAATGCTACGGTGATGGTTTGGTAGGGCAGGTTTAGGGAAACATAGTGGATTGAGTTAAAATGACAACTTTGTTTATGTTAAGGGACCTTTGTTGTTATGGTTACAATAATTAACACTTAAATGTTCAGGAACAATCAGGGTCATGGTTAAAAGAAACCAATACTGACTGCAGGAAATGAGTAACAAACAGTTAATTTCTTAAGGCTTCAAATTAACACTAAAGTAATCAAATTAAGTGAAGTGTTTTATTTTGTTGTTGTTGTTGTTAGCAGAGGCTCTCTGAGTTTCATGTGTCACACATATCAGACACAACATTACGAGACATGAGTGAGGAGTGTCAATTTTTTCTTTTTTTTCTTTAATTTTTCCTCCATCAGTTATGGAGAAACACTGATTTCACCTGAGTCTGAAGGACAGCTGCTTTTGCCTCTGCCTGCAATAAAACTGAAGCTGGATGTATGTACTTTGACATTGTGCATCAACTGGCAGCGTGGTCTTGATTAACTCTCCTCAGTGGATTACAGCTTGGCTATAACTGACACTGTGGTCTCTATTGGCGAGATGTAGCCTCTTTTGAGAGAAAACTGAGCATCAAAAAGGAACAAGAGGCGCACAAATGGAACGGAGTGGAACCTGCACACCTGTACAAGTCCTGCTCATACGCTTCCTCAAGTGATCAGCGTGTCAGTGAGGACTCGTCTCCATAACAACCTTCCCAGCAAAGTGAATCCATTTTCAATTTATTACTGTCACCTACCAACATCTTGAGAGAAGGCTTGGAGTCAATTATGTCTTTTGTTCTTTATGTTGAGTGCTGTATTAAGTGTCTCTGTGAAGCGTGTCAGATTGATACAAGACAAAGTAGCCGTGCTGGCATTTTTCCTCCCGTTCATGTTCTCATATCTCAGTTGTAGTCTTGGTGTGCTTTCATGCGTGAGAGACACAAAAAACAGGACAGTATGAAAGTTCTGACAGACGAGTGATAATGAGCGGAGGCTGAACAAAGCACTAATCACCAAGTGTTGTAACACCCCCGAAAAATGTCAGTAAGCTCAAGAACCGGTCTTTGTAAGTGTTGAAAGAAATAATAGAAGAGCATCGGAGAAAAGAGACAGAATTGGGCACATGTCACGATATTTACTAGTGTAAGTTTTGACACACATGTAGCTGTGTGACATTTGCCTGTCATACCAGATCAGGTTGCTACAAGACTTAACAGGATCTGTCACTGATGTTGCTGCTGAACTCAGATCTTCGATTTCTATTAGGGGGTTAGATCTGAACGTCTCCCTTTGTTTGGTTAATAACAAAAAAAAAATTTTTCCCTTTAAACGCCAGAATTTTTTTTTTTTTTTTTTTTGTTACTGCAGTTTATCACAAATCCAAATAACCAGATAAATATAACTGTAGCAAATGTCCATAATTAACACCTTCCTTCCTTCCTCTCCATGCACCAGTGTGACGATGACTCTCCCAAAGGCCAAGCGGGGACACCGAGTGTGAAAATATCAATTGAGGCCACAGCTGTTGACTCACCGTATTAACTCTGAATGACCATCTCCACTTTCTCCCACTTTGTGTGTGTGATCTTTCACAGGGGACCTGGCGTCAGATGACGAGTACCTGGAAATCCCATCTATCTCCAGACAGAGAGCAGGGACGTACGAATGCACAGCTGTCAACGATATTGACACAGATGTTCAGACTGTCGACATCACCGTCAACTGTGAGTCAGCTGCAACAAACATGTCTCCTAAAATATAGTGTTTTTATCAGTCTATTAACAGAATTCAGCATATCCGATAGGTTTTTATACTCATATAATTTTTGAATTAATTTCCATGCAAAAGTACAGGTTCCAGCTACTGAGATATGGGCCTTTGTTGCTTTTCTTGTGAACTGAATGGCACTGAATGTGCGACTGTTGATTTGATGTTGGGCCTGTGGAAAATTGTTTTTGGGATTTTCTTTACTAATTTCTACCATTAATCAGCGCTGATTAATCAGTTAATTAAAAAGAATATTTTAAACACTTATCAAAAATGTATCAAAAAGCTGTAACCCTACTGATAAGCAAAATATAAGTCTCGGGTACAAGAATGTTTAACTCTAGAAATTTGAACACAGTCTAACATAGCCTGGTGAGAGAAATGGGTTCTTCATCCGTCTCCATGTATCGTCGCTGTTAAGTAACGTGGTAAAGCAATGTTTGAAGCTTTCTTGACAACTGCTCTTCCTCAGATCCTCAGCAACACACCTGCCAAGTTTAGAATCCTTCAGACAAGCGGTTGTCGAGAAAATCCAAATACAGACTGTTCCATTTATAGTGAGATATATACAGTGTGTTTACATTAAATCTATTAATCAAGGTTGAACAATTTTCTAATTCACAGCGAAATGAAATAGCTGTAACATACAATTTTGGTTATATATGGAGGTATCTTATTTTCCTTTTTAATCAGGCAGTATATGTTTTTGCATTTGCAATCCTATTGGAATTATGGCTGTTCCCCCATGCCCAATAATCTTTTCATCATGGAGAGGCTTGGAATGATTTCATAGTTTGAGCTCATTTCATTTGAAACGCCTGTAGTGCCACTTTAAAAAGTAGGCACAGGTTTATATCTAATAATTTACTGTACATAGCTGATACAAACTTATTTTAATATGTAACAATTTTATTATTGAGTTTCACTTTTTAAGCAAAACCTAATCAGAGTTTCTAAACTGTAATGATGTGCTTCTTCTTTGACAGAAAACTGAAAACCTTTGGCTTTTTGGCTGTTGGTTTGATTGAAAATGACATTTTGAAGTCATTATATATATAGGGCTTTAGGAAAATGTTCTATTTTTGTATATATTCTATTGTCCATTGATTAATTAAGGAATTTATTGGTGTATTTATTGACGATGAAAATAAGTGAAGCCCTAACATATCATATCTTTTGCATGCCATTTTTCAGCCCATACAGGTGCAAACACATTGTGAATTTGTGGGTTAGCCTACATTTCTAGGCTTTGCTCAAACAGGAAAAAAGTCTTTTTGATAAATTGCTGTGCCTTTGCTGCAGTAGAAGGAGAATAGATTGTCTCACATTAAAACCTGAAGAGTTAATTCCCTCTCATCATATCCTGACACTATGCAGTTTTACCCAGTGTAATAAATGTTATACTTAGTTCATAATTCCTGTTCACTTGTGGTCATGGTGTCGATCCCAGCTCTGAACCAAAACCGGGACAGAAGAGGAGAAAATGCCGTGACCCCTCTCCTGATATCCTGGACTTGTGTTGCTCTGTAGTCCTGATCACAGCGCTCCTATGTTTAGATGCTCCAACCGTGTCAGAGGGCAGAGATGTTGGAGTGACTCTGGGCCAAAGAGGAGTGCTGGAGTGTGAGGCTGATGCAGTGCCTGAGGCAGATTTTGAGTGGTATAAAGATGACAGAAGGTAATGGGTTTTACATTTGCATTTTAAGTAGACAAATGGACGAAGTATGTATATATATGTGTGTGTGTGTGTGTGTGTGTGTGTGTGTGTATTTCTATGCTTACTGATCAGTTTTCACAGTTACTGATTGATCAGCTGCCAGTCACACAGGCATTAAGATTATAAGATTACTGCAAAATTGCATGTATTAAATAATATTAATTAAATTATTGTTGTTGTGCTCAGGAATTTGGCGGGGGACTTAAGAAAACATAGACAAAGCAAAAACATAATTAACTGCTTACATGCTTAGTTGCATTTGTGGTTTGTCCATGAACATTTATTCTCCTGTGTAGGATCTTCAATGGCTTTGACGGCATGGAGATTGTGAACACTGGATCACTGTCCAAGCTGACATTTTTTAACGTGTCTGACGGAGATTACGGGAACTACACCTGTGTTGCCATCAACAAACTTGGGAGCTCAAACACAAGCTTCCTTCTGTATGGTGAGTACAGGAATCTGTTACATTTATACTACAGAGAGGAATAGTTTTATGTTTCAGTGACAAATAATTTAATTTAAAATTTTTAGTGTACCTGATGGTTTAAATTTCACTAATATATTTTGTGAAATTTACAGTTTAACTTTTGTTTTCCTAGTGGTGGAAGAAGTGGAAAAAAGTCTTTAGCCTCTTAGACTTGCTGCAGCCACACACAGCAAAAAGAAAGCCTGCACAGTTTTTGCACACACTGTAGTACACAAACAAAACGCTCCATTGCTAGACAACACAATAGCTGTTGATATTATCCTCTGAGCAGTGATTTACAAAAACCATTTGTTGTTGCCTTCCCTTGTCTGAATGTCAGTCTGTGAGTCTTTGCCCTGCAAAGTCCACAATCTGCTCTAGGTTTAACTCCTCTGCTCATTCATTCTCAATGCAAAATAAAAGCCGTCCACTGATGCTCTCTGTCTCACTGCGCTCCTTAAAATTCTCAAACACTGAGCTGAATGAGCTCTGCAGTCACAATAGCAATTGTCAAAAATAGCAGAAAGGTCACTGAAGGTGGATAAGGGTGGAATACGGCACTGAGACTCAGTGTTGCTGCTAATTTGTCCCAGTGGCCATTCACGGTATTACAAACTAAACATTTTCCCCACAGAACACCATTATAAAAGACACATCCATAAAACTTTAGGCAGGACACCTCCAACTGCAAGCAAGATTGTTTTTTACTTTTTATACCTGGAATTTTTAGTCCATGGAGGTTTTGTATTTGTAAAACTTTCCCAGAGCCTAGAAAAGTGAATTATGTTTTCTATATTTTTTTAAGTGTAAGGGCCTAGCAGGAACACTAATGCATATGTGCAGTGGGTCGTACAATGCAGTAGTACACCTGGATGATAAAAAATGTTTTGGGTCATGCACCAGGTGAGCAATTTTCATTCAAGTGAAAGGGCGCCATCTGTGAGTCCAGTATCAGATTCCACCAGGTAGAAGATCCTGAGTGAGCATAACAGTCACACACATCACTGGTGTGTTTGACTTGGGTCCTTTAGCATCATCACTAAGTGATGCATAAAATCAGTGATTAATTAAGGAAGATGCAACCTTTTTATTTTTACCTAAATAATGTAATGTAATGCTGATCTTAATCATCATTGTGCATTTTTCTGCTGTTCACAAACTGCTTGTCCAGGAGTGAACACACCACTCGCTCCCCCTGTCACTCGGTCAGTGAATGAAAACATTTAAAACATACATCTAGACTGAGAGTTGAGAATGTGAACTCTCTGGACATGAAGCTGGGTCTGCCTCCTGCAGCCGCACACTCACCATCATCATCTTCTCTGATGCAGATGCTGATTCGGCTCCTCTCTTTTGTTGCATACTCACATGGTTTATCATGACTTTATTATGTGACTTGGTTTTCCGCTGTAATGATTGCATCTTTAATTGCAGCAAAGTACCATACTTGACATGAAAAAAATATTAACCCCCCCCCCAAAAAAAACCCCAAAAAAACCAAAACAGTACAGTACAGTAACGAGAGAAAATGTAAGTCATCACTTCCACCCCTGGCATCACATGTTGACGTCATTCCCGGGGCCTTGTCTCACACCAAAGAAATAACCACATGTCAAAAGTCCAAAGGTGTCACAAAAAAACTGAATCGTGCATATCATTAACTTATCAACACTGTAGTGTGGTAGCCGCAGTGAGAATTAAAATAGTGTAATGTTAAACCTTTGAAATGGACTTGTGATTTGATGAATGGCTGTTGGGACTATTATCAGTTTGACCTCTTCAGTACCTGTGCAGCATCAGTTTAAAGTCCATTCAGCAGCATACTTTTCATGCTTTTCACAAGTGTTGTCAATGATATGTTGCTGTTCTGTTTCCAATATGTTGCTCTGTTTCATTTGTTCCCCTGGTGTAGTGGTAATTGAACCCACTAGCTCAACGCTATTGCAAGGTTAGTATTCTGCACCAGCATGCACTTCAGCTGTTGTGGGTCGAAAGCATTAACCGCATGCTCGGACATGACAAACATTGCCATTTTCACAATCAGGAAGTCAGGCTCCAGTGTCACTGGAGTTATAGCGTTGTGTTTCTTCTGTATTTGACAAGAAGAGACAAATAATTTCTTGGCTCTTTGATCCTATCAGGACTGTACTGTTTTAATGACTCTTTGTTCCCTTTATGAATTCATATTTTAGAGCTTTTTGGTGGCAATCTTTGTATCTTTGTGAAAATGGTCAATGTAGCCCGTTGCACTAACCATGTTTCATCTTTGTCCTTTGCAAACCTAACTGCCTGTCTGTGTGACATCGGCTTCATTTTGATTTTTGCATGCTCTTTTTCCCATGTAAGTATTTGTCATATTTTATTATCATCATTTGTGCTTATGTGACTGTTTCCACCTGCTGTATTTGAACTATCCACCCTACACAGAAAACGTAATAGCGAAAGCAAACACAGAGAGAGCTCCAAAAACTCACTGTTGGCACAAATGTTTCTTGTATCTGCAATAGTGGCTGTAGATTGTAGATGCCTGGTGTAGATTATTCCTTTACATGTTTTTAGAACCAGTTTTTAAACATATGGATCTGTGGTGATAAACAACTCCCCCATCTTGTCATTTAATGTGTCCTTGTGAGTTCTGGTTGCACCATCTTGTAAGGAAACTCACTCCATTAACAACACAGAACTGTATTAATGGCCTTGATTTTGACTATGAGTGAACGTCATTATTCTAATTAGCCATATGCAGGATTAGGGATAATCCACTGTGGCAGGGTAATTGGATAGATGCCCCAAAGGAAACTGGTGAACTCATGGAAATCCAAGGGAAATGAGTAGTCATTGTGTGACAAGCTTCAAAGTAAAAAGTTAAAATTTGTCCTCAATCCTCATACAATGCGTTCATTTAGATGGAACTTGCCTCATCCCTGAAAAGAGCATGATGAAAATATTATGTCTTTTCACTGTTGCATCATACAATTGTATTATATTTTAGTAGTACATGAATTCCCTGTGAATTTCTTACAGTGTTCTTAAAAGCTGTGCACACACTGTAACAACTAGTAGCACTAGAATACTGCAGGTGCATTAAAAAGTAAAGCATAAAGCTTAAATTTAATGTAAAATACTGAAAATCTGGCTTACATTTTTGTTACATCTAAGAATTATTTATCTGATACATAAAAGAACACCAGGCACAAAAGCTGTGTTTCCAAAAAGCGTGCTACAACACTGTATGTACTGCACATACTTTATTTTACACTCTATGTAGTATATATATTATTATATGTGCTAGGATCTGGGCAAATATTCAGGAAACATTGATAGTAGCACTATAGTTGCTGACAGCCAATCAGTTACAACTGACCAAAGTAAACCTGGAAGTCAAAGCATCATTAAAAAAACCCTGTGGGTTAATAGACCAGTTCTCAGTCCTTATTAAAGACAAGATTATAGTCTTGAAGTAATAAATGCTGGGCAATGACCACTTCTAATCCTGTCAAACTTTAGTACAGCATTTGATGCTGCAGACCATGTCATTGTGATCATCACACCCAAAAAACAGGTGCTATATGCAGCACTAAATGTAGTTCACATTCTGCTTCCTAATGGAAGCTTTTACTGTATGCGTCATTGTCATTATATGCGCTGTTTATTTATAGTTCCCAACAATGATTGCTTCCTGGATCTGGTTTACCTGCCTACATGAGAGAACGATATTTCACAACATGATACCTGTCAGTTATGTACTGATTGTATCACAAAGAATAATAATATATTAAGAATAAATCTGCAAGTATAACTCATACTATTATAAAACCAAATGGGTGACGCTCTTATGACCTTTTTATCTGAAATAAGCTGTTTTACATATACAAGCAGCTCCGGCTGCATATGTTAAGCACTAATAATGATGTCAACAGGAACATGGATTGGAAACAAAGGAGAACCTAGGGTAGAACCTTGAGCTACTCCACATCATCAGTGTTGTATATGTGCTTTTTCCAATGAAGGAAGTGCCACATGTTTTTGTGTTGGTGGTATGATGGGCATATGAAGTTCAGGACTTTGACACCAGAGACTTGGATTCTCATCCTGACCCCCCCATCAGTGGTTAGGTTTATACAATAAAAACACTTTAAGATTAGGAAAAAATCATGGTCTTAGTTAAATAAAAAAAAACAAACAAAAAAACAATGTTGACTTTATTTAATTAAGACCACAATCTTTGCCTAACCTTGGAATGGAAATGGAAAAAAGACATTTTCAGCATTCATTTCATACATTCAGTATGGACATTTTGCAACTTGACAGATATGTTCATTAAAATGTTTCCTATTTATGCTGAAAGAAAGTAAGACCTCATTATGTTTACCTCAAAACATACAAAAATCTATTTTTAGGAGACAGGTTTGCCTAATTTACAGATTCAGCAATTCATGAAGCCTAGTGTTACTCTACAAAAATGGACATAATGTACATACTGTCCTTTATATGTTAAACTCTGTGGAGGCCGCTAGCTCCGCATCACAGCTGCAGAGCAGGGATGAAAGTAAGGAAAACATCTGATAACTTTCATAATCTCGTGTTGATGCCATGTCACTAATAGAACCTTGTTATCCATACCTCCAAATCCCCAATAATTCTAAACATTAATTGTAATCAGTGACTCAGCTATAATCACTAATTATGTACTCTGGTTTTTATGCAGAAAATACAATGTGAAGCAGTCACCTTGTGTTCTCATGCAAACATCATCAAACTACAAGTCACAGTAATCACAAATGCTGTAAGGTTATTAAGCCAATGAATTGTTATCAGCAGATAAGAACTTAATTTAATAATTTACCCCCAGTGGCGCTAACACGACAGAAAAAACAATCACCAGTGGAGGAACTTACCCAGGTGTTTTTTTTCCTTCTTCTTCTTCTTCTTTCTTTCTTTCTCCCTCCTGTCAGGGCCGAGAGCAGTTCAGGATGGTAGCGGCGGCGCGATGGGAGTGCACTCACACACCTGTCTCCTCTTCATAGTGTTTCTGCCATTCCTGCTCAGGTTTTGAAGAGGAATGGATTTGAACACGAGTGATGTGTGTGTGTGTGTGTGTGTGTGTGTGTGTGTGTGTGTGTGTGTGTGTGTGTGTGTGTGTGTGTGTGTGTGCGTGTGTGCGTCTGTTTTTTTTGTTTGTTTTGAACCAGAACCATAAACTGATGCACAGTGAGTGCATGAAGTACCAAGCTACGTCATGATGTTGATACACTAGATAAGTACATAACAAAATTTTGTTTATTTTATTTTATTTTTATTTTATTTTTTTTTCCTTTTTAAGGATGTAACAGAAGTTTCACACCTTAACTGATTTGTGTTCAATATTTTTCTCTTTAAATTATATTACTCTGGATTGTCTCTTTTTACGTGTGTCTCGGGAAAAGAAAGGATTTTCTAAAATGAGGTGTCTCTTATTCAGATGGATTTGTCTTAATTTTTAACTGCATTGCATATTCATCTCAACTCCAGGAAAAGGCAAATTTATGGCATGTATGAGAGGTGAATGTTAAATACCTCAAAGTCAAACCGAGACAGTGAAGCAGTAGGAATTTAGGTTACCCCGAGGCTGAAAGCCTGGTATTATCATATTTTAATGTATAATAATTATCATTCAGTCTGGTTGTTGAAAGCAGAATTGTTTTTGACCTTCATGTATTTCTGTTCCCAGCATTATAGTGATATACTTGCGGTTGTGATATGCTAATCTTTTAATTTTCTTTTTTTTCCAGTCATGTTTAGTTTTAAATTTTTTGACAAAGGAAAATATAATGTTGTAATTAATTAGGATTGAATATCCTAGTTTAACGTCTTTGTTGTATTTTTTTTTTCTTTACCAGTACAGTTGTACACAATAATGGTGTCAAGAATAATTATGTTATAATTATGTAGTTCAAATGGAGCGAGAGTTTACTCCACGTGTGGAGTCAATGTCTGACTTAAGTAATGCAAATTTATTAATGCGTTTCTACTTGTTTGAACATCATGCAATTTCTACACGACACAGTTATTTGCGAAAACGTTCCTGTTCATGTTCCAAACCAGCAGTGCAAGGTTAGAGACAACTCAGTAAGATCATGTTAAAATGAAAATAAACACTTTATGCATGTAGTTAGACACCAATAACCCAAAGACTTTACACATTTAGCTACCACCTTACGTCACAGATTTGTTTCCTTGTCTCAACACCAACCAAAACACCAACACTTCCATAGTATTGTCTTTTCACAAACAAGAGGGTTAAAATGCTATGTTTTCATAAGGGTTTAAAATGGGGGTAATTTGGAAAAAAAAAAAAATCTAAAATCATTGATACCTTTAAACCAAAATGTACAGTATGTGGTTCATGACTGTGAAATGTCCATCTGAACGTGACATTTCCAGCTTTTATTGAAAAGAAAAAGAAAGAATTGCAGGCTCACTGTGCGGCATGTGAGCCAATTGCAATAACAGAGATTGATCAGAGGACTGAGCGAAAAGGCTACAACTGCTTTTTATCACTTGATATATAGCTTGCATTATCAGGAAAGACAGGATATATAAGAAAAGAAGAAAATCATATCTCTGTGTTTTATTGTGGAATAAAATCAGTGCAGACAGAGCATCACAGAGGCTGTAAACAAACAACAGACCTGTTACCTTATTTTCTTGTGAACGTCAGGAGTTTATGCAACAATCAGTAACCTCTCACAACACGGCAGCGAGAATTGAAGCCAGTATCTTGTATCTCTTGTGTTGGCGAGTGATTCACAACAACTGCCAGGCCGCACTCAGGTTCAACCCAGCAGTGGAAAAGAGCTGAGTGACAACAACGATGAAAGCGAGATTTGGTGTTAGGCTTCTGGTTTTGTAATGTGGAAAAGTATTTTTTAAATATCATGAATCTCATGATGAATGCATTGCTCTCTGTTTGTCAGTGTACCTCAAACACAACACAACCATCTACTGACTGAGCTGCACTGCACATCACTGGACTATGTGCGGCACTAAAACACATGTAGGAATGCATTAAAACAACATCAAATAGGAACAGTGGATTAAAACCAATTGGTGTGTGTCTGTGTAGTGGTGGGGCAATGATTTTTAAATTAATACGACCTCAGTCGACACTGAGCAGGGTCTGACAGGACAGAGCGAGCGAGACAGGACCGGTGATCTCTCTTCCCTTCACGATCACCTTTCCTCTTTTAAAAGAAAATACTGATCTTTTTTTTTTTTTTCCTGGATTGCCTTGGCTCAGGTGAGGTCTTAGTCTGTCATCCATGTGCACCTCAATTTTTCCTTTATAGCTCTTGGGGATAACAACGTTTGTGCTCCTTGATGTGAAGAAAAAGAGCCAATATCCAAATCAAAAAGGCATGAAAGAGATAGGGCCATTATTGAAATTGATCAGGGTAATCATCAGCTGAATCTGACAGGCTAATCACCGTTTGTTTTCACACACAAGACAAAGGAAGAGAGAGAGAGAGACAGACACTGCGGACTATTATTCATCTCCAGCACAGTGATGTTTGGAAATGACATTGTAATTATTTCATCCTGGCTTGAAGGATGGCGGGACTGATCTCATGTCTATTTTGTCATTTTGCCACAAGATTAACCACATTTAAGACCACCTCCCAAGGAGGTCTGTGCTGGAGCCCTCCGCAGATGAAAGTAGTTGCTATCAATATTCCCACAAACAATCACAGCCTCATCACTCCGAGTTCACTTGAAAGGCTGAAAAGGAACTGAACGTGAAAAAATCTTGCTTAATAGTTTGCCTGGAAATATCAATTAACACACACACACACACACACATGCACGCACGCACACACACACACACACACACACACAAATTATCCTATATATCTGCCTACATTTAATTTGTAGAACAGCCAAGCACACATTGTAAAAACTGGGTCATTTATTTTATTTTTTTTTTACTACCTCTGAGCAGTTGTTCAGCAATGTGTCGAATTATTTACCACCTTAAAGTAATGTCAAAGTAATATTTAGATCTAGTTTTGGATGTGCATTTGTGTGCATTGTAATGACAGTGTAAGCGATGCACATTCACAGAAGCCCATGCGATGCCACACAGCTGTATTAGTCAGTAGGTGTATCTCAGAGCTCCACAGGTTTCTGAAAGGACAGCACAGACAGCTGAATGTTTATGCAGTTTATTGCTTTGTCCTTGATAATTGTGTTTTTTTTTCTTTTCTTTTTTTATGTCATTTCAAATGCAATAAAATATCATTTCTCAAGTCAAGCACACTATTACTGAGGACAGACCCATATAAGTTGCTTACCTTTAGAGCAAAGGCAGATTTGTACAAACCAGCAGGGCTGCTGGCAATATATAACATGTTTTGCATTTCTAGATTAAATAGAAATGAAAGTTTTTTTTCATATATAACCAGAGGTGTGGAGTTGGTTGTACAGCTGACTTTAATTTAATAATCCACTCAATAATAGAAATGCCATATGGTCACTATGGTGGCACATTAATATCCTGATGAACTGTGATGAGATCTGTGGTCACAAACGAATTGTTGCACACTGAGCTGAGGAAGCAGGATGGAGGCAAAGAGTGGTCTGATCTGGGATCTGAGGATGTGGTGTCCTGCCTTTCCATTGGAGATTGAAAGCTGTCACTGTCAAATCGCTGCCGGAAATCCCACTAGATCACATTTCCTAAGGTTTAGGCCTTGGTTGGTCTGAGCGGCGCACAGCCAAAAGAAAAGTATCATCTTCATTTCCTTTTTCACCTGCTGCCCCAGACATGTATAAAGACTGGAGAAATCCTATGCAGGCTGCTTCTTTTTTTTTTCTGACCTGGAGCCTTTTATTTTACTTAGCACCAGTGTTTTCGATGTATTATGGGTGAACTCCGCAGCAGATAACATACATATTTCAGTGTGAAATAAGCAACTTCTATAAGTGAAAATAATTCATCATTTCTCAGACAAACAGTAGACAGTTGTACTACAGTTTCTTTCTGCATGACATTAAAAAAGTCAGCCTCTCCGCTGTCTTATTAGAGCAAATGCAAATGTTCCAAATTCCCTCCAAGCTTGACTTTTAAAAAAGGATATGCAAGACACACTGTAAGTCCCATTCAAGCCAAACTTATAATGATAAAGCCTAGCAACCCGGGGAGAGGATCTCAGAAATACACTGGTAAAATATTTCTGATTTGCCTCCAAAGTTCAGCTTGGAAAATGCACTGAAAAGGCCTGAATACACATAAATTCTCCTGTTTCTGTCTGACTCCAGTCAGCCAATTCTGAATCACAGCCCATGAAGGCTTATATTTTGGCAGTAGCACTGCATATTTATGTTGATATGACCAATTCCACTCTCTGTTTGAAGACTGCATAGGGATTGCAGGGCTCATTCTTTCTCTCAGCCCAAGCAAACATGGGTCCAGTTGGAACATGGACTGATTTTTGGAAAAAAAAAAGAAAAAAAAAAAGCTATGGGTACATTTATTTTCTTTGTCTTTATGTGTGCAAGGCAAGAGAGAAGTCTTTGAAGAAAATTTGATACCATTTAAGAAAAATGACTGAGTTTGTGTTGCACCTATCAGATAGTGCTATTAATTTTAAGTGTTGTGACATTTGTGTGATTTGCATTGCAGTCTGGAAGGGATCATTTTTGGATGTGAACTTTGGTTAGACATGAGAAATCAAACCTTTGTCTCAGCCTCCAGGGGGGTTATTATCATAGCAGACGCATGAAGTAGTCTCATGATCCCATGAGATTTATTTTGGATGATTCACATAAATAAAATTCTGCCCTTTGCCTGGCTACAAGTTCACAGAGCTCTCTTTAAACCGGATTGTTCACAAGTGGAGGGAGACGTCATGCTATTTGACTTCCCGCATTGTAAAGGATTGTTGGTTCTTATGTATTTTCTTGATGAAAAGTGTGTGCTCATATTTAAGACTGATAATAAAATGTTGTATCTTAAGATCATGCTTTGATACATTTGTGGTGTTTTTATTCACTGTCAGATCAAATATCCATAGGAACGTATTAGATGTTTTGCCAATAACCTTTTCCAAGGTGCACAAACAGCAGCATTCCCCACACTGGCACCTATCCAGTAACAAGGCAAACC